TTTCCTCATCTGAAAAGTGGGGATGATAATAGTGCCTCTGTCCATCTCACAGATGTATCTCGAGCACTAATTAAGACAATGGGCATGAACACATTCTGTAAACTCTCAGGTGCTTTGAGTGCTCAGCTCCAGACCAGCAGCTGATGGAGTGGCACTGGGATCAAGAGTGGGCAAGGGCAGTCTTTTCTCTTGCAGAAAGATCCAGAACACAGGAGGAAGGCTTGCGGGAGGGAAATGGAATCCCACGGACTAGAGCTGGGCAACAGGGGGTTGAGGAAAGGGTCAGAAGAATCGGGAAAGAGGGAAGGGCAGGAGGGTTAAAGAACCAGACGTGTGTCTTCTGCAGCCAGGGATGGAAAATATGGACCACAGCCCCTCTGCCACCCACATTCCCCCCGGAAGGACCCTGGAAGCCCAGTCTCCAGCCCTCGCCCTGCCCAGCCCCCTCCCCAGACCTGCTACCACTACTCCCTCTCACCGTTGAGTTGAACCTCAGGTGACAGATGTTACAGGAAATGAAGAGCTTCTTCTTCATAGGGGAGGGGACCCCAAACGTGTGGCTGATGACAGCTTTCTGGACCGGGTCCATCTGTGAAGGGGGTGGGAGGGCACAATAACCCTGGGTTCGGCTGGGGAAGAGGAGTGCAGAACAAAATGCCAAAAATGAAGACCATGCAGGAGGGCAGTGTCTGCCTCTAGGAAGAACTTTCTCTTCCTACGGATGTTGGGTGCAGAAAAAGAAACAACCTGTCTCCTGGCTGACTTTATCTGTTGCAGACAGGGCCACGGCCAGGGTGACCTGCATGATTCTGAGAAGTAGAACCACGTCCTGGTGATAACCAGGCTTCTCTTGCTGCCCCTCCGATCACTGCTTTTTGGGGTTTTTTTTTTTCCCTCATTCACAAGAATCAGAAATATTGGAACAGAGAGTTTAGCACAGGGAAAGCAGGGAAGGGACAAAGAATCCTCTCTGAGAGAAGAGCATAACTGCAGAAACTTCCCTGAGAACAGAAAGAGGTTCTAACCCTCACAGCACCCAGGGCTGGTGGGGTGCTCAGGGGATAGGACCTCAGAGGAAAATGGTCTGCAGGACCCCCTGCAAGGAGGACAGTGGCAGTCTCGCCTGCCCTTTGGGGACCATGCGCTGAACAGCGAGTGAATGGCAGGGACTCAAGACCAAAGGATCCTCCCCAAATGTCTCAGACTCTTTAGGACTCTGCACAACCCTGGAAGGTGGGAGGGAAGGGATTCCTAAGGGTAACTGAGATGGAATTTGACACCATCTTGTCAGGATGGGGCGGGGCTCATCCATGATTTCATTTGATTCCTCAAAATTGGAAAACAGAGGGGTTCTTTATACCTCATGTAATGAAGTGAAATTCCCAGTCAGTACACTTGTCATTTATACACACGCACACGTGGAAACGTATTCGCCAGTCTATAGACACACAGCACGTAAGCATGCATGCAGCTACAAATTTCCAGACGAGCACAGANGGCAAGTCACATCAGCTCTCTGAGCCTCAGTTTCCTCAACCATGAACTTTGTGATGATAATACTGACTTCATAGGGTTGTCAGAATTAAATGGGAGCATGAATTACAAGGGCCTAGTACATACAGGAAATGCTCAATGAATGCACCCCAAATCATTCATCCCTTTCGTTCAACAGTTACCTAGCATTTACTGTTTTCCATGCACCGTGCCAGGGGTCTGTCACGAAGACAACATGGTCCCTCCCTCACAGAGAATTCTCTCTGTCCATCTCTTAAATGACACATATAACCTGAAAGCCTGGAGGGATCCCTGACATGTGGCTCATCACAATCCTCCCTCCTTCAACCAAGGGTCCCTCTTGTTGCTCCCCAGCCCACCTCCCGCAAATGTAGGAAAGACCTGCCCACGTGTACCCTTTCCCCACAGAAGTTCTGCCAACATCTAGCCCAAACCCCAGACTGCCCTGGGAGGTCAGAATGAGGCTCGTCCTCTACCTAGGGGTATAGTATATATCTAGGGATATAGGTTGTAGTAGAAAGTATGCAGGCTGCGGGGTCACCGAG